TCCATCTCGCTCGCTCTCCCGCACCCTCACTCACTTTCACCAGGCTGGGGCAGGGAATTGGGATGCAGGAGGGGGTGCGGGGTGCAGGCTCTGGGCAGGAGTTTGGTTGCAGGAGGGGGTGCGGAGTGCGGGCTCTGGGAGGGAGTTTGGGTGTGGGCTCTAGGCTAAGGCAGGGGGTTGGGGTGACGGAGGGGGGCAGGGAGTTGGCACTTACCTTGTGTGGCTGCCGAAAGCGACCGGCACACCCCTCTGGCTGCAGCTCCTAGGTGGGGGGCTCAGGGAGTCTCTGCGCATTGCTGCCCACAGGAAACACCCCCGCAGCTCGCATTGGCCGCAGTTCCCGGCCAATGGGAACTGCAGAGTTGGCATTGTGCAGGGGCAGCACGCGGAGACCCCCTGTCCCTCCGCCCGCCGGAGGGCCATTCTGGCCACTTCCAGGAGAAACGCAGAGTGAGGGAGGGCAGGAAGCCTGCCTTAGCTCCACTTTGCTGCCGGTGGCAGCGGCCGGGGCCCCCTGGGCCCTTTTAAATCACCCGGGCCCCTGTGCAATTGCCCTTTCTTTCCCCTGCCCCCCGTCGGCAGTCCTGGCTCCGATCTTGTGATTTCCCTGCTGTGCATATATAGAACTATCCCTGATATCAATGCAAGTTCATTGCACGTATACAGAGCACTGTCTGAGTGCAGATCTGGTATTGATCTGCCAGAAGAAATTTGTTCCTTGTAGCTGTCTAGCTCTCAAAAGAGAGGCCTCAATAATCAGGGGCGGCTCTAGCTTTTTTGCTGCCCCAAGCACGGCAGGCAGCCTTCGGCGGCATGCCTGTGGGCAGTCTGCCGGTCCCGCGGATTCGGCGTACCTGCCGCTGAATACACGGGACCAGTGGATCTCCCGCAGGCATGCCGCCGAAGGCAGCCTGACTGCTGCCCTCGCAGGGACTGGCAGGCGCCCCCAGTGGCTTGCTGCCCCAGGCACGCGCTTGGAGCGCTGGTGCCTGGAGCCGCCGCTGTCAATAATCATTTGCCAGAAAGTCTCTGCTTTATCGGCAAAATAAGTCTGATTGTTACCTGTATGCTAGTAATGCACACAAACCATGAAGGGAGGGGCAGGCTCAGTCCTTGGCATAGTATTTACCGTACAGAGTATGAATGTTTTAAATGTTGCCAAACCTTATGTAATGTAGCAAGTTCTAACCGCTGAGTCCTTAATTGGCACCAGAGAGTTAGGCTATCTGTCAAATTGCACATTTGGTATTTGAAAAATGTGTGTTGTGAGATGAGTTCTATTTAGGGTTGCCAGGTGTCCAGTTTTTGACCGGAACGCCTGGTCGAAAAGGGACCCATGTGCATCCGGTTAGCACCACTGACCAGGCCACTAAAAGTCCAGTTGGCAGTTCAGTGGGGCTAAGGCAGGCTCCCTGGCTCTGTGTGGCTCCCAGAAACAGCTGGCATGTCCGTCTCCTAGGCGTAGGGGCGGCCACGAAGGCTCCGTGTGCTGCCCCTGCCTTGAGTGCCAGCTCCACAGCTCCCATTGGCTGGGAACTGCAGCCAATGGGAGCTGTGGGAGCGGTGCTTGCGGGCGCGGGCAGCGGATGGATCCTCCTGGCCTCTCCGCCTAGGAGATGGACATGCCAGCCACTTCCGGGAGCCGCCTGAGGTAAGCCCGCACCCCAAACCCCCTCCCATACCCCAACCCCCTGCCCCAGCCCTGAGCCCCGTCCCTCACCCAAACTCCCTCCTGAAGACCACACCCCGCACCCACTCCCGCACCCCAGCCCCTTGCCTCAGCCCTGAGCCCCCTCCCACACCCAAACTCCCTCCCAGAGCCCATACTACATGCCCCTTCTCACACCCCAACCCCCTACCCCAGCCCGGAGCCCCCTCCTGCACCCTAAACCCCTCATCCCCAGAGCCCACACCCCCAGTCAGAGCCCTCATCTCCTCCCACACCCCAACCCCCTGACCCAACCCGGTGAAAGTGAGTGAGGGTGGGACAGAGCAAGAGAAAGAAGGAAGAGGAGATTTAGTGAGCAGGGAGAGGGGCCTCAGAGAAGGGGCAGGGGCAGGGGCAGGGCCTCAGGGCCAGGGGTGGGGCAAGGGTGTTCTGTTTTGTGGGATTAGAAAGTTGGCAACCCTAGTTTCTATTCTGTTTGCTTAAATCAACTGCAGAGGATGATTGCAAATCACCTCATCACAAGCCTTAATTTTGCCCTAGCGCACTACGCACAGACTCCTTTGTCAGACGTCCCTTCTCACAAAGGGTGTTGTGGCTCCATCTGGCAGGAAGCACAGGGATTATTTTTATCATTTTTATCACATGTATAGTAAGCAGCAATATTCACTTTAAAGGCCTTCATCAGTCAGAATGCTGTGCCCAGTTCTGGTGTCCATGCTATAAAAAAGGATGCTGAAAAACTGGAGAAGGTCCAGAGAAGAGCTACAGGAATGATTTGGGGTCTGGAAAACCTGATTTACGACAAGAGACACAAGGATCTCAACCTGATTACATTATACAAGAGAAAGCTAAAAGGTGGCTTGATCACAGTCTGCAACTCCCTACACAGGACAAAAATAGTAGAAGAGAGCTGTATAACAGACAAAGGCAAACAAGGGGAGTATGATTAAACAGGTTTCAGAGTAGCAGAGTAGCAGCCGTGTTAGTCTGTATCCGCAAAAAGAACAGGAGTACTTATGCATCCGAAGAAGTGGGTTGTAGCCCACGAAAGCTTATGCTCTAATAAATTTGTTAGTCTCTAGGTGCCACAAGTACTCCTGTTCTTTTTATGATTAAACAGTTCTGCTTCAGTAATGCAGAGGGTGGTGTTTTAGCAGCTGTAACTTTTGAGTAGATTCCCACTAGGAAATGTGCCAGGGAACAGGCCACTAAAGAGTGACTGCTCCCCTGTTCAGCCCCACTGCACCAGCGCTACAGAACCCCAACATTGGCGAGAGGCTGTTGGGTCTCTGTGGTCTCTTGAGACAATCTTCTGAAATACTTCTGTTTACACTTCTCCCACTTCAGTTTTGGATCTTTTCTGCCTCCTTTTACCCCTCTCTGTGGTGTGTAGATCAGGGTATCCTGTGGCCCTAAACAATTAAGCAACAGCACAGACAGTGATGAAAAGAAGCATGTCTTGTATTTGTATCCAGGCAATTCAGATTTAAGAAGCTGGGGACTTTCCATTGAAAACCACCAGAGGGCACTGTAGGCTAACTGTTGAAAAACACACACCAATCGAAGTAAAATATAGTATGTCTTTCCTTTCTCCCTCTCTTTCATACCCAGTTCACTTGTCTGACTCATTGTTAAACAATCTGAAGTAATGGGCCTCTAGCTCTTCCATGGTTGAGTGTCCCTGTCAGGAAGTTCTCCTGATATTCAGCAGACACTTTCCATGACTGCACAAATAGTAAACAAAGTCTTGCTTCCATATTAATAGTGTGAGGTTCTGTGCTGAGCACCCTGAATTCCCACTGATGCTTAGGACTGAGGCCTGATTAAGAAAAGACACCTTGGACCTCTACTTTTAACACTGAAAATAGTTACAAAAATCTTGAACATCAGAAATTTGTGGGAGTTTTTTCTTATGTTACTTTATCATTTTTGGCTGAAAACTGTTCACTCTTCATTATCCAAATGTCTGTTGAAAAGCCCTTTAAAATGTGCCACGTACAACCCTGAGCACACTGCTGGCATGGACTAGATCAATAATAGTAATAATTAATAAATAAGTAACCCTTGACACCATGATTGGTGATAGTAGTATAAACGTAACAATATCTGTAATAGTCACACAGATTGTTAGAAGAGGGCACAGACAGGCTCTTTGATTGTGGTCTTCACACCTATTTACTGATATATCTTAAGTCCCAAAGGTAACTTTTTTAAAATAAGTTTCATTAACAGACTTTTTTTCTTGAATGGAGGAAAATAGAGTCTGAGTGCTTGAATTCCTATAGCCCCTATTAGAGCTTCATATAGTGCGTGCTAGACAAAGCCTTCCTACTAACACTGCCTGCCAATCCTTACTATCCCAACCTGCACTGACAACTGACCTGCACTCCCACGGACTTCAGTGGAAGGTCTGCCTGAGAAAGGGCTGCTGGATTGGCCAGGTGAATAAGTGACACCAGAAACTGCATCTCCTTTGTGAAAGAGAGTGATAGTGCGAGGGTCTGAAATTTATATTACGGAGATGAAGTGGCAATGGACTAGTGGAAACAAATGATAAAGTTTCAGAGAGTTTTAGAAGCTAAAGGAAAATCAGTGGAGCAGAGAAAATGAGGATAAAAGGGACAGGCTTTTAAAGACAAATGAAAAGAGGAGAGGGGAGTGGAAAAACAAGGGGGAAAGTGGCAAGCTGAAGAACCCAATGCAGAGAGTTCTTGGATGGTCTTTTTGAACAACCCAGTGTGCTTCCATGCATTGGTGACTAGAAAACTTGAAACACCATGAGCTATTCCAGTTCTAGGCCAAATTATTTTCCCTCTGGATGAAATCTTGGGTTTATCGCTGTCATTCATGCTTTATAAACAGTTACAATATACACACAAAAGCCAAGGTTTAAAAACAATGGTTGTCTAAAGTTACTCTCCTAATTCGTATTTAGGCATGTAAACAAGTGGTTCATTTTTCAATAGGGCTTAGCACCCAGCAGCTCCCACTGACTTCAGTGGGTTCTGTGTAGCACCCTTAGGGTGACCAGACAGCAAGTGTGAAAAATCGGGACGGGGGTGGGGGGCAATAGGCGCCTATATAAGAAAAAGTCCCAGATATCGGGACTGTCCCTATAACATCGGGACATCTGGTCACCCTAAGCACCCTATATGTTAAACACTGTTTCCAAGTGAGTGAGACATTTTTTTCCGTTATACTAAACATTCATTTATCTCCCTGCACTGTTTGTGAATAAGTTTTCCTATCACAGAAATGAACGCTTCAAAGTAATCAATATATTTTCTTAATGTTGTCTTTTTTATCTTCTTTTTCCCTTTCTTGTGTTCAGTGCCCAAGCAAAACTTACGACCCGTTGATTAAATCTACCAGAGATTTTCCAGATGATGTCATTAGTTTTATAAAACGCCATCCATTGATGTACAAGTCGGTTTACCCGGTGACTGGAGGACCTGTATTTACTAGAATCAATGTGGACTACAGGCTGACGCAGATTGTGGTGGATCATGTCATGGCGGAAGATGGGCAGTATGATGTTATATTCCTAGGCACAGGTAAATTAAAGAGCTCTCGTAGTTCTTCAAGGGCAATGTCATAGGAAAGCTAAATAGGTTAAAGAAGATCATTTGGGGTCCTAATCTATCAAGAATCTTTCCATTTACCAAAGAGGTAACATTATTCCCATTTTACAGATGGGGAAATTGAGGCACAGAGAGGTGAAGTGACTTGCCCAAGATCACCCAGCAGGCCAGTGGCAGAGCCAAGAATAGAACCCAGGTTTCCTGAGTCACACTCCAGTAGGCCACACTGCCTCCCCTTTACCACATAGATGAATTTTGCAGCATGCCCTGAAGTTCAACAAATGTGGACTATTTGGGACAAAACTGGAAGGGGGTGAATTTCAGAGCCATCGATCTCTCAGGTGCAGGATTTAAGTCTCCAGGGCTTTCAACTCAGCCTTTCTCACAAGTACTAATTTCACTAGCAAACAAGGTGTCATGAGGTGTCTTCCAGCATCCATACACTTCAGGCCAATGAGTGAAGAGTGAGATGGAGTGGGATTTTAGCATGAGGAAGAACTTCAGGGTGACTTGCTCTCACAGCACAGTTAGCTGTCCAGGAACAAGCACTGCCCCAATCTTGGAGGACCTTCATTGCTTTGCCTCTCTGAATGAAGTCTTTCTGACAGCAATGAAAGGAGGAAAGCAATCATGCACTTTCAAATACCACGAAACCCCTACAATTCAAGTATAAAATATACATCTGAAGCATACACACAACATGCGCACACACATAATCATTCACGTTACGCATGCTGAAAAGTTATGAAAAATTAAACATCCATTCAGAAAAGGTAGATTTGCTGCCTAACACATGGGAATATTGTTTTGGCGTGTTCTAGAATTTGCATTCAGTTTTTTGCTATTCTCTACTGCAGTAGGTTTTCATACAAAATGAACTTATATTAGATCAATAACCTCCTGTTGGTTTAGGTATTGATAGATAGCACTGACATCTAATTCTTCCTTGTAATTCTTCTTTAGTGTAGAGATTTGAAGGTTGCTAGGTACCATGTAGTCACTAGGTGGTGCTCCATAATTTGAATATAGAGAAAATTATCAGCGCCAGCACCTTTTAATTATAAAGTGAGCTCTTTTTTTCCCCAGAAGTACATGGTTTTATTTCATTTTATATTTTAAATCTATCCTGTGGAAATTCAGGCTGAAAGATAATATTTCAAACATTATATAATGAGTGCATAAAAATACACCAAATAACTCAGGAGGTTTTGGTCACCAGAAGATCAGGAGCTTAAAATATGTTTGAATGTGTTCAACCAATGCTACTAGAGAATTTAGAAAGGCTGCCTGTTATGTATAGATATTCCAGCTGCAGCCCTTTGTATCTATGTAACCCTAGATAAGAGTATGGACATTACTAACACAGAAGGCAGGTAGTGACATTTTGTAACTTCCACTTAAAGTGCTAGGGATGTCATCAGCTGTAGTCTCCTACTTTGCTTTAAAATGTATGTATTTGTTGCTTTAATACTACACATAATATTTAGTACTGAATGGGCTTGATTCAGTCCTGCCTTGCATCTTCCAGACATCCAGGCCATGCCCTTCACCAGCCTATGTGTTTTGGGGGCAGGGTTGGCTAGCTCCCTTGCAATGGTGGGACTCCACCAACTGGAATGTACAGCACTGGGGAGTCCCAGGAGATGATCAAGCCTGATATCTTTAATAGGGATTTGCAAATGTCAATGAATTTTATCTTCCCTTTGAGGTAGGGAGGCGTAATTTCTGCTGAGGTCAGAAAACTGAGGCACAGAGTTTCTGAAAGCCACCCCAGTGAGTCAATGACAGAGGTGGGGTTAGAACTCCAACATGCCTAACCCTCAGTTCACTAGACTTCCAACCTGCCTCCCTGTGTGCACTGTATTCTGTCAGGAAAACGTGCAACCCACACACAGGGCTTTATGCAGCTCATGAGTCCCCTGTTAGGGCCGAGTGGGATGTGAGTGTTGCAAAGGGCCTTGTTCAGGCACACCTCTCAGCTGGGCTTCATTTTCAGGGGCGTCACTCATTGCAATCCCAAATACGTAAATGCCACACAGCTTTGGTGTCCCTTCACTATTATGGCTGGAATATATTTACAGCAGAAATGCAGAATCGTGGAGCTGAGGTGATCCAAAGAGTCATTTACTTTAAAATAAGGGCTCCCGTTGTGATTTAAATCTCTTGCATGAGTAACATTTCTGTATCCCTGACTTTGGGTCAGTGTCAAATGACACGTCCCACATTTGGGCCTCAGCAGGTTTGAGGTTCCACCCTTAATGCTTTGGGATCTTAAACAACTGTTTAGAGTAATTTTAAAAGCACTTCAATTCCGTTTTAAGTCTGATCACACCATGCTGCATAGGTAGTCACTAAGACCCCCTATTCAGCAAAGGACTTTAGGCCCTTTATGGTCCCTAAAACTGTTTAAATAGATAAACTCTTACTGAAAAAGAAGGATGATCCAGTAGCTAAGGCATTTGAGTAGGACTCAATAGATCTTAGTTCAATTCCATGCTTCCCCCACACATTTCTGTTGTGAGATTGGGCAAGTCTTGATGTGCTTCAGTTCCCCATCTGTAAAATGGGGATAATAGCACTGTCTCAGAGTATTCTGAGGTTAAATACATTAAAAATTGTGAGTTGCGCAGACATTATAGTAATGGGGGCCATACAGGTAGATGTATTTAGAAATCAAATTCCTGGCTACATTAAGCATGATCTCTGATGTCTAGTTTCCTTTTTTTTATCTTCTTTATAACTGAAGTTTAGAGCATCACTTAGCAAAAGAATGGGAAGGGGAGTCAATATGAAGTCAGTTAGAAACAGAACTGTACTTAAATGCTGAAACACAAGCACTGCTTTGTATACTACATATCTTTGTTTCAGACACAGGAACGGTACTGAAGGTTGTGAGTATTACAAAGGAGAAGTGGACTATGGAGGAGGTAGTACTGGAAGAGCTGCAGATTTTCAAGGTAAGCTTTAACAGCCACTGAGTGTTTGAACAGCATCAGAGAATAGTTTAGGGGAGTTTTAAGCCTTGTGGAGTTTAACCTCTGAAGCAATTCATTTCTCAGAACTAGGGCACGTTCCCAAACTTATTTTATTGTTAACATTGAGATCCTTTGGTTTTCCAAAGATGATTGAATCAAAGAGAACATCAATTTTCAAGCTCCTAGGAAACTGCTGCCAACTCTTGCAGTTTTATCATGTCTCACCAACACTGCTTGATTTTTAGTGTTTTTCCTAAAGCCTCAGCTTCTGGAGTCCTACAATCCCCGTTATCACTTAAAAAATGTTTTCAACCCTCATGGTTGTGGAGAAAACCTTGAAACACGAACGAAGGTTAAAAACAAAACAAACAAAAACCACAAGGCAAATAAAATGAAGGAAATATCTGCTATTGTTTAAAGTCTAATGATTTTTAAATCAGTCTCTTGATTTGTTTTGTTTTGCGGTGGTTTTATTCTGGAGCCTGATTCAAGGTTTTTGTGTGCTTGGGGTTGGCAATGCCGGTAGAATGTCAGAGAGAGTCAGGCCAGCTCCAGTGAGTTGCCTATAAATGGTATCTATATTGGGCCAAATTCTGCTCTCTATTACACTGACATAAATCCTGATTAACTCTGTTGATGGCAGTTGAGTTGATCTGGATTTACACCAGTGTAATGGAGAATAGAATGTGCCTGCTGATTTATTTTTTCATTCCAGTGTTTCTCTCTCCTCCTTTTTGGCAGTCTTTCGCTGTTCCCTTTTCATTGCATCCAGCTCTACTTCATTTTTCACCTTACTCTTTCGTTAGTGTTTTCCTTTCTCCCCACCATCTGCCCTTTTTTCATAGATTCTCTCCTAAGTGCAGTGCAAGCCAAAGAACAGTGGGGTCGTAGTCGATCTTTCTAATCACAATGATCAAGTGAGTTTGAAATCAGACACAATGAGTTCACCCAGAACTAGTACAGGCTCTGTAAAACTGATATTACTGAGTTAATCTCTCTATGTGCCTTTTAATACATCATCTATAGGATGAGAATCCTCTTGATTTAAAGGCTCTCAATGTCCTCTTTCCACTGCCATGAACACCAATTATAAATATTTCTTTGAAAATACCAAGATTGCTCAACAGTCTGCCAAGTAATCAGGAGTTTCAGTATGTACACCAATTTGCTGCATTCTTATAACATAACGTCAAGGGCAAACATGCCATATCATATTTAACACTAAAAGGTTTGGGGTTTGCTTAGCAGACAGTCCTCCACTTTATAAATGTTACCCCTACATTTTTTTTAATATGGAAAATTGAAGAGGAAAGAGCAGCTGCAAACCATTCCTTATTCCTAAAGCCACATCAAAATTAAACAATAGGCTTAGATGTTGAATTATGTGATAGAGCATAAATAATATACCAGGACCATCCTGTTCTTACTACAGTCATTGACACAACATCCATTGACTTCACTAGAGGTAAAATTCACCCTTGGTGCAGAGGAGCAACCTATGCATACCTTAAGTCCCATTTTAAGCCTTCAGAATAGTGCTTAAATGGAATTTTTAGACCTGGTGCTGGTCCTCTATGCAGTGTGAATTACAATCTTCCTGGATAGAAATCATCTACTGGCAAGTAGCAGAACATATTTGCTGGCATGTATTTCTGGAAGCAGGTATTTCCTTATTTCTGATATGTTTCACATCTGGATAAACCAATTAAATTGATCTGTAGTTATCTTTATTTTCTTGTTAGGCAGGTGTTAAGATATGTCGTCTTTTCTATTAAAGACAGAAGCAAATGTCAATGAATAGTTACACTGACATTCACTCATTAATTTTTCAGCATCCATCATTTATCTCAACTATGGAGATGTCCCTGAAGCAGGTAATTCACACACTTGTTTAATTCACATGAATAGTTTGGTATTTTGAGCATTTAGCTTGTTGCTTTGCTGGTGACATCTGTTGCTTATTGGCCAAATTTTCAAAGGCTGCCACTTAAGCTGCATCTGGAAAGTATAGTGTGAACTAATTTGCCTGGAAAATTAACATTTGCTTGCAAATAATAGTTTGTATGCCCAAACTGGTAATTACTCATGGATACAAATCCTTAGTCATATGGATGTGGGATTTGTGAATTAAGTTAACACACATATTTTCCACATACAACAAAAATTTGACTCTGTATAATCTATTAATTCAACAAAACGTTATTATTATTTTATTATTGGTTATAGTAGCGGTATTACAAGCAGCACAACTAGGGATCCCAAATAGGGATCAGGGCCCCATGGTGCCAGGCATTGTATGTACACATAGTAAGAGGCAGTCCCCAATCTATGAGTTTACTGTCTAACTACACAAGTCACAAAAGGTGGGAGAAAGGAAGTATTATTATTCCCCATTTTAAATACTGAACTGAGGCACAGAGATGGAAAGTTATTTGCCCGAGGTCATCCAGATATCCCGAATTCCAGGTCAGTGTCATAGTTTAAAGCCAAAGGGACCACCAAATCATCTAGTCTGACCTCCTGTATGTTACAGACCACCAACACCACCCAGGACCCGCACACTAAACCCAACAACTGAAATTAGAACAAAGTATTACCGCCCACAGGAAACTGAATGTTATGTGCTACAGGCAGAGAGTAGGCGAGAGCCCGAGGTGCACAGTACCTGAGGTCCCTGCAATGGCAGGGAAATGATTAGGTGAGATATACCCAGGTAATCCTAGCAAGTGACCTGCACCTACATGCTGCAGAGAAAGACAAAAAGCCCCAAGGTCACTGCCAATCTGACCTGGGGGGAAATTCCTTTGCAACCTCACATGTGACAGTCAGTTAGATCCTGTGAGCAAGAATCAGCCAGCCAAGCACCTGAGAGAGAGAATGCTCAATGTCACCTCAGAGCCCTGGATCACCTTATCCAATATCCCATCTCCAGCCACAGCCATCCCTGATGCTTCAGAGGAAGGAGATGAAAAAATACATTGAAGGGGGGAAAATCCCTTCCTGACCTGTGCAGGTGACCGTCTGAAACTCTGAAGCATGAGCTTTTAGAAACATAAGACATAAACCAGAAATGAGCCCCACGGCTGTTGAGCTTAACATCAAGATCTATCTTCCTCTATCAAATTATTAGTAAAGTTACTTTTGTTGTGGATTGCTGCTCATTTTTGATACTGTAAATTCATGTGAACATCCTACCAGTGTTTTAGTTCCTCGTCCTTCCAGTTCCATAGCCCCTTTCCAATATCATGTCATCTGCAATGGATGGAGACTGGCCAGTGCACACAGTGCCCTGAGAAACATTTTACAATGAATGTGAAATTCTCTCCCGTTCAATACAATCTGGGCCAAGACTGAAAGACTGCGAGGGTGGTAGCGAGAAAGAGAACATTTAAAATAATTGCTTGAAGAATGCTTCTAATTCATTCGCCTTGCCTGATTTGCAGCAACAATTGTACATTGGTTCCAAAGATGGATTGGTTCAGCTCTCCCTGCACAGATGTCACACGTATGGGAAGGCTTGTGCAGACTGCTGCCTTGCCAGAGACCCATACTGCGCTTGGGATGGAAACTCATGTTCCAGATATGCACCAACTTCTAAAAGGTAAGAATATATATAGAGTTCCTATGGAAAATCCACCCACTCATGTTCTCTACATTAAGGGCTTCAGAGGTTCCCACTGAGTTCTAGGCCAGCGAAAACAAGTTGCACTTTTTCAGCATGTTTTTTAGGTAAATTGTAGGCATACCTTGTCCATGTTTTGGTGGGAGTGCTATGAAAACAGTGCAGCACTTTAATATGAATAGCGATAACTGTGCTAGGGCGTCTAACGTAACAAGATCACGATACTTATTGTTATGCTACATGTTTTAAGATACCAAGTTATGAGGCTAAGGGCTAGATTGTGTCTGGCTCTGCATGAGTGTGCAAAGGAGGGAAGTGATTCAAGGAGCCTCCAGTACTTGTGCCTCTGCATGGGAGCCAGGCACAATCACAATGGGGAGTGTGACTCTCACATGATACCCCTGGGTGGGTCATCGGCAGCAGGAACTGAAAGGATGAGCTGAGCTAAAAGACACAGGTCTCATGGCTCAAGTGCTTTAGAGTTTACAAACCTCTATCCATGGACTAGCGAAGAACAGAGAACCATAGTGTGTTGGTATAGGTTACACAAGTGCTTTGCTGGGCTAATACCAGCTGCAGCACCAGCCTTCCAAAAGAGAAAGGACCACGGGAGCCATATCTGAACTCTCCCTGAGCCAGATGGAGGGATTTCATGCGGTACTCTAGAAGGCTAATAGAGTTACTGAGTTGGCATTAGCTCCCCCTACTAGCATTCTGACTGGGTCAGCCAGAATTTCTCAATTCATGCCACTATTCCAGGGCTTTTCCTCAGCCTCCTCTTCCACCCCTTCGATGAAACTGTCCTGTGGGCAGTCCTTACAACTGGAGCGAATAACTGATTTTTTGGTTTGCTGGCAGTTCCGAAAAATTGAAACAAAATTTGGTTCGAATCAGAAAATTACAAAAAGTCCCCCTCCCCTCCCCCCCCCACAAAGATTTTTTGGCTCAAACTGCATTTTTAGCATATAAACAATTCACCTGAAAAATGTTGCCCAGCTCTGCTTACAATAAAGGCCCATGGTTGCTGTCTGTGATGAGAGTTTTGCTTCCGTAAGGACTGCAGTACTGGGCCTAAACGATGAAATGAACTATTGTAGTTAATGAGTTACGGGATATTGTGTCATTCATTGTGTAACCATGTGCATTTTCCCCTAAGCCAAAGTGAACTAGAATAAATACAGAGAAATGTAAATGAGAAGAGAAATATAAAAGCTAAGATTCAATGAAGAAGTTATGCCCCAGGAGGTTGCTGAAGGCTGCAGTGCTTTCTTTCCACTGCATGCGGAGACAGAGAACGAGGGCTCATTTATTTATAGAGCTCCCTGGCTTGGTGGATAGGTCAAAGCTTTGTGGGTGCGAGGCTCCAGAAGAAGGGATTGATGTTTTGCATTGTGCACCTTCCATAAGTCAGTTACTTGCGTATTTTCCTTTAGCTCGGTCTAGCTATCTGGCACACTGTGCTCCCAGCATATTTAAGTCTCTTCTCCAAATGGACACATCAGCATCAGGAGCCAACTCTTCCACTTAGACATTGCTGTGCTTTGCACTTGTAAGGGCCTATTGCCATCTCTGACACTGGCTCGCCGTGTGTCCTCGAGGAAGTCACTTTGCCTCTCTGTGCCTCAGTTTCCCCATCTGAAGAACGAAAATAATCAGATTTATCCTCTTGAGATCTACGGATGAAAGTTCGTAAGAGTTAAGTATTATCAATATTATTTTAATGAACCCTAAAAACAGTCACAGAGAGGTTAAGTAATTCGCCCAAAGATCACTACGCAAGTTAAATAGCGGAACTGGGAAAATAATCCAGGAATCTTGACTCCCAATCCCCTGCTCTGTTCATCTCTACATAAAGTTCCCCAAACCGTACGCTGTAGCTGCTGTTCTCAAAACTGTTCCGTCTGAAGCAGCACCTACGCTTTGCCAGCATTGCTTGTTTTAGAAAATTCAGTAGTTGACATTACACTGTGTTGGCCTTGAATTGAGTCAGGAATGTGGTCTGTTGAAGCTCGTAGGTTTACATGACGTAGGTGTTGAGGGTTCTGATGGTTTCCAGGATGATCTGGCCCACCAGATCACAACATCTGTTCTGCCTTTGGATCTGGCAGAGCTCCTATAGCTGATTTGGAAGCTGTCTCTGCCACTTGATTGCCCTCCTCACCCTCTTCTAGGCAGATCTCTCTCCCCAGAGTGATTTTCTTAAATCACCGGCCTGTCTCTGTGCCATTTGTACAAATCTCTCTGTGCCACATGCCACTTGAGAGGGAGGCTGGATTTACTTAGGGCTGTAATTGCCAACGATAGGGCAGAAGTGCTGCGGTCCCACATCTGCCGAGCTCCTCTGCATTTTGTTACTGAATTCCAGCAATTATGCCTTAAGTGTTACACATTTTAATGCTCTTGTTATAGGCGAGCCAGGAGGCAAGATGTCAAATACGGAGACCCAGTCGCCCATTGCTGGGATGTGGAAGAAAGTAAGTATTTGCGCCTCTTCTTCCAACAAAATGTGTACGGTCAGTGTGTCTGTCTGTTTACTATGCTCTTTGGAACTAGGCCTCTGGAGATATCTGGGCAGCTAATACCCAGGCAGTTAGAATCCCCAAATACTCTCCATTCAGGCCTCATCCAGCAGTTAGACTCACTGAGCCATGGGAACTTAAAAGAAGTAAATGGCGAAAACAGCTCTCCCCTCTGCCCCCCCACTCCATGCGAGAGAGACACCAGCAGAAACCCACATGAGGGGAGAAATAAGACAATTGATGTGAATACCCCATACCCCACCATGAGTGAGATGCCAGGACCTCCGCTCCTTTGCAGAGTATCTGGAGAGAGATTCAAGTAAGAAAACCTCTGAGGAAGCAGGAAATGCTCCTTTTTCCTCCCCTAATACATACACACACTTGACAAAAGTCCCAACCCCTGTTCCAGCTGCCAAACCCTCCAGTTCCCCCTCCCTGCAGCTACTTAAACACTCCCCCTATTAACAAGAGCCTTCCCCTTCCCTCAACAAGAAATCCCCCTCTCCCAGCTGCCAAACAGTCTGGCTCACTCTCTTGGCAACTGCTGCAGTTCACTTACAAAGTGTACTGTCAATGCTAAATCCTGCGGTTACGCTGCAATTTCTGTGGCAGCGTAAAATAAATGAAAAGCTTTCAAAACTGAAGTTTGAGTTAGTCTGGGGTTTTTACATTCAATTATTAAAATGAACAGCCCAGTCACAACAGTATTGATAGTATTGCTGAGTTTAATTTTTGAGCTAGTAGAAGCCGTTCCCTTTGATCGATCTCTGATTATTTTCATGTCACTGTGGTGCTGGAAGCCTGCTGCAAAACTCAGCATATTTCACAGCAAAAATTAGGGCTGTCTGCCATGAAATCAAAGACCAGTCTGTTGCATGGTATACTGGGCTCTCACTGTGCATATATACCGCAGGGATCATTAAAAAGTCAGGGGGAAATCCCGGTTCCATTGAAGTTAATGGCCAAACTCCCATTGATTTCAATGGGGCTGGGATTGCACTCTCACGATTCACCCCACAATTACTACATAGTGGTATTTGAGATATGCCACAGAGCTTAGGCTTACTGTAGGGATGCCAGCCCAACTGCTGCTGTCAGGTATGTCTTTGTAGATAAATGGTATTGTCTTTGATGAACAAATACAAAATTACTAAAATGTTGCACTAATATGAACTCAATCCTGAGCCCCAATATGGTGGCAAAAATGGAATGTATGGCTAGCTTTAGCAGCTAGATGGGTATTTCCCCTGGTGCTGTAAAACAGGTTCAGATGGCCTTGTGCCACCCCACTTCCAGCCCCTGGCAGATTAATAATAACTATTAATAATAGATAATGATATGATGATAGCACCTACAAGCCCCAATTGCAACGGGGTCCTATTGTGCTAGACACTGCACCAACAGAGTACAAAAGGCAATCCCTGCTCTGAAGATCTTGCAATCCAAATAAACAAGACAGACAAAGGCTGGGAGGGGAAACAAAGGCACAGAGAGGTGGAGTGACTTTTCCAAGGTCATTGGCAGAATCAAGAGAAGAAGCCAAGTCTCCTTACTTCTAGTTCAGTGCCCTATCTGGAACACACTGAGCTCCAGCAGTAACTGCCTAGTAAATGGCCACTAAAAGGGAGTGATTTCAGGTAGCCTTGAGGCTGCTCTAAAGTATGCAGGGTGCTAAAGCGGTCCCTGGTGGCTCTCCGAATTGGTGGAACTACAACCAGCACTTATGGCTACCCCACCTCTACTCTGCTCAGTCTCCACTGGGTGCACAGAGGATGGAGCAGAGGAAAAATATAGGTAAAATATCTAATTCACCAGCAGTGACTGTCTCTCTTTAAATTTAAGTAAGTCAGTGGTACAGATTTTATTAACCTCTCTAAAAAACAGTTGCACTGGAGGAAAGTTAGCAGCCGCCTCTAAATCCTAGCAGTTATATTTTAAGCTAAAAGTTAAGTTTCCTTTTGCTTATTTTATAATTCACTGGCTCCTATAGCATCTGTTCTGAATCAGTGTATTTTCCTATTGCTTTAAAAATCAGGTCAGGGTTAATCTTCGGTACCATGTTTGCTTTCCAGGCATTAGTCATGAAACTGCTGATGAAAAGGTGATTTTTGGCATTGAATTTAATTCAACTTTTCTGGAATGCATTCCTAAGTCCCAGCAAGCCTCTATTAGGTGGTATATTCAACGCTCTGGAGAAGAACATCGAGAAGAGGTAAGTTATAGGCAACAAGGCAAGCTTCCTCAGTGGAGAATTCAGCTGAGTATTCGAAGGCAGGAGTTATTGGGATTAGTAGATGTTTTCCTTTTCTTTGCTTCACCTGAGGTATCAAGTAGTGTTCTGGTATCACCATTTGGGGTATAGAGAGGGTGGGAGAGAGGCCATTTGCACTGTACTACAGGCAGATTTATTTTATTTATTCTACTCATTAAAAAAAAATCCCTAACCTTTGCTCTAAGCACTCTTGGGTGCATTTTAAAAAGACAGACTACTCCAGTAACACCCTTTCCCCCAGTAATTAACACATGGAATAACTCAGCAGCTGAAACCACATTCAGAATCTTCTGCTCTCTATAAGTTTCCACATCACCCTAGTATCTGAGAACCTTCCAATTAAGTGTCGTGCTGAACATCTCTCATGTGAAGTTGATTCTTTCTCTCCTCCTGTCCCTAGGAGGAGAATTGTATGTACAGTGGAGTGTTTTTTATGATCATTGTGTTGGTTTCAGATTTTTTTTAAATGTTTGTGCTCCTCTGTGTTTAAGTTGGAGAAGGCAGGTGGGAGAAGTGCTGCTTGCACTTGAAGTTGAAAGTGGGGTGGTTTCCAATGGTCCTTAGTTCCTGGGGGAGTTAATTCCGTCATCTGGGACCAGCACCCAACATGTCTCCTGCCTTACAATCTTTATAATTTCCCACGGAGTCCTCTGACAGCTAGTGAAAAACCATGCCCTGAAGGTCAACAGATTGGGACTGGTTTGGACTGACTTTCAAACCTAAGGTCCCCTCACAGAGAATGCCTTTTGCCCTCCTACAAGCCATTTTCCATCTCAGGCCACTCCCTACCACCTGTGTAGTCATCACAACTGTGGTGGTAGTGAAAAGGGGGAGGTAAGTTGGTCGAAGGTTTTAAATGTGCTTTATTGTTCAATGTTCATCCCAGTCTTTAGTTAGTTATGCCTTCAGATCTGAACCAGATTGAATTGTTTTTCTTTCAAGCTCAAGCAGAGTTTAAATATCAGAGTCCTATAGGAACTATTAAATATGCACCATCGTTTATGGCTCAGCCTTCCATTGATTGTGGGTGCTAGCAACTCTCCCATTGACTGTGATGGCAAGATTTCTCTCTTTCTTTCTAAGAGCCGAGAAAGTCTAGCCATGGCTGATTCTTATGAGGTGATAGCCCTGTATGGGGCTACGGTGTCTATTGCAGAGGACCCTGAGCACCATCTGGGCTCTTTGGGGAAAGTCGCCATGTTGGAGGCCACATGAGGACTATGACACCAGTAGTGGGCCATGGAGAGTAGTGACGGGTGCTAACCTTGAGAGTCAGATAATCTATTTTATGTGCAAGTAGCTCAGGCTGCAGATGCTTTTCCACCACATGAGCTGGAGGAACAGGACTGTCTGCAGGCCCTGGTTTTGGGGTACTTTTGTTGTATCAACCCCTACATACTCAAGCTTGGCAAAGTGAACTTCACCACTGAGCATGAGCACATAACAAATGTATTTATATACATCTAGCACGTCTCATGCCCCAGGCTTAAAGCCTTAGGTAAAGTTATAGTGGTTTAAAACACTATCTTTGACATCCATCAATACCACATACTTGAAAAATTATATTGTATTCTCATCAGCAGGCCTGCTGGTATGTCTGGAGAATGGCCAAAGAACACTAATAAACACAGGTGGCTAAACTGAAAACTGTACTACGCACGGCTTGGAAGACGTATATTAATCACTCCAGAAATATTGTAATTCTTGCCCTAATTGTTTTATCTTTGACGCTCTTTTGCAAGAAGTTGTATTCCTTACCTCACTAGACTCCTAGACTCATAGACTTTAAGGTCAGAAGGGACCATTATGATCATCTAGTCTGACCTCCCGCATGATGCAGGCCACAAAAGCTGACCCACCCACTCCTGGAATAATTCTCTCCCTTGATTCAGCTGTTGAAGTCCCCAAATCATGATTTAAAGACTTCAAGTCGCAGAGAATCCTCCAGCAAGCGACCTCTGCCCCATGCTGCGGAGGAAGGCGAAAAACCTCCAGGGCCTCTGCCAATCTACCCTGGAGGAAAATTCCTTCCCGACCCCAAATATGGCAATCAGCAGAACCCCGAGCATGCGGGCAAGATTCTCCAGCCAGACCCTCATTGACCAATGATACTAATTATCAGCGATGGCACGTTATTGACCTATTGACTAAAATCACGTTATCCCATCAAACCATCCCCTCCATAAACTTATCAAGCTTAATCTTAAAGCCAGAGAGGTCTTTTGCCCCCACTGTTTCCCTCGGAAGGCTGTTCCAGAACTTCACCCCTCTGATGGTTAGAAACCGTCGTCTAATTTCAAGCGTAAAATTCCCGACGGCCAGTTTATATCCATTTGTTCTCGTGTCCACATTAGTACTGAGCTGAAATAATTCCTCTCCCTCCCTGGTATTTAGGGGTCCACTTCAGAAAAGCACTTACATATATGATTACATCCAACCCAATTTATGAAAACAACTGAGTAATTATTTAAGTCCTATCCTTTTCAAAGGGATTTAAGCACATGCTTAAAGTTAGGCACATGCTCTAGAGTGTTCCAGAACAGGAAACTTTGATTGGTGCTTAGATGAGCCACAGTCATTATAAAAACAACCTTTCACCTCTGTAATACCTAACCAAGGTTCTCAAAAGGATTTACAAACATTAATTAACCAAATATTACATCTGAAGAAGGTATATTTAATAAGGATAATGTTTAATCCTCTTAGATCTGAAAGTGCTTTGCAAAGTTGGTTAAGCATTTTCATCTTCATTTTTCATGTTGGGAAATTGAGATACAACAGGGTTGGTGGGTTCTGTGTGTCCATTCCTGTAGCCAAATCAGGAATTGAAACTCCTGGCTCTGTCTGATGCTTTAACAAGACTAGTTTTTCTCCCTGAGTTTTGTGCAACCCATTTGGAAAAAACTCAGATTTTGTTAGAAATCAAAGACTCAATCGGTGCAGCTCATGGTGAGCAAAACAAAGGTGGCTTTAAACTGCCTTTCTATCTCACTTGATTGTGGAGCTGGCTTAAGGCCAAATTGGCCTTTGGCTACATTAGAGCAGGCTAAGGGCTGGGCAAACTTTCGCCAACTTGTAATAGCCACAAATAGCCAATATGCCAGCATGCTCTGGCCCCATTTCCTAAGCCAAGCCATGAGAACACAGTGTAGAATCAGCCATGTGGGTTTTATGCCACCCAGGGACTCCCCTATATCATCGGATTCAACAGCTGGTTCAAGAAGTTGAGTCAAGGATCTGGTGTGAAGGGCATAAGGGGGTGTGTGCATATGTTTTATGGCATTTGCATCTCTAATATGCATCCAGCACACATTAGCAGCCTTTCACAACGTTTAGTAGGCTCGCACTATGTAAATAATCTGAAATGTTTATATGGGAAAAGTAAAGCTTTGATAAAATGCTATATTAACCACTGGGCTCATTTAGAAGAAAACTATCCAGATGGATTTTCTGTGTTATGAATGTCAACTGCAAGCAAAGAGTTTCTTATCACATGCTGCCACTATATCCATGGGAATGTTCACATGATGTTTGATCTTTGATAAAATAGATGATGGAGCCCATGTTCTGGATTTTTTTTCTTATACTTTTTTTCCCACCAAAGTCCCCAGCCAGAGTCCTTTTTCACTTTCAAGATCATAGCAATTAGAGACGGGATAGACCTATTAGCTCATCTCCATCCTTGCTGGTAAATGCTTGTTCCTATATCTAGTATTTTGACCCAGTCTAGTTTTTGTTGTCGTAAATAATGGGGCAACCACCATTTCCCTTTTCAGAATCATCCTGATGGTGCATTTCAATACACACACAAAATGTTCTTCCTTTTAGAGAAACAAGGTGGGTGAGGAAATATTTTTTATTGAACCAACCTCTGTTGGCGAGAGTTCTGTATAAGCTTGACACTGGTCTTGAACCAACCAAAATTGGTCCAATAAAAGATAATACCTCATCCACCTTATCTCTCTAATATCCTGGGACCAACACAGCTACAACAACATTGTTCTTTCTTTTGTTATCTTTAAAGATAAAGAAAAAATTAATAAAGCTGCATTTTCAAATTGGGTACCTAAAGTAAATTCATGTGTAGCCACCTAAATAAGTCAGCCCGATGTTAAGAGATGTCAAACACCAACAGGAGTAGTGAGTGCTCAGCATCTCTGAACCACAGGCTCTTTTTATTGAGATGGTCTAGCTTTGGGCACCCATGTTTGAAATTTTCCCTCAGTGTTGGATACCACACAGCTGGCCTCTATAGAAAATCCAAAGATAGAGAGATATAAAGTTGAGGGGTTTTTTTTAATGCACTTTAGTTTGACCAAAATACCAGATGTAACAGAAATAGGGTAGCTGTCTATAACATGTAGCCTGATCTTTGCTCAGTCAATACCTTACCATAACTTTTCCCATTACAGTTCTATATTCCGCTCTCTCTTCCTGCGTTGTATTTCTCTAATAACACTGTATGTTATTGTAGTGCATGTCTTAAAGGTATAACTTATTGTGATGACGATACCATGCTTTGTGAATGACTCAGTGCACCTGGAAACTCAAGTTACAGACTTTTAGTTGAAGTGGTGTAGCTGGAATGTTTCAGTAGATCTTTAAACCTCACTTTACAAATAGATGGTTACGCTTTGTCCATGACATGCAATACAGCTTCCTGAGGGGAGAGAAAGGGCAAAATCCAGACTAGATTGGGAGCTTTTGGCCCAGCAGGATGTCTCCTGCATTTCAACTTTAAGGTCATGGTTCAGAATCCTACTTCCAGTCAGAATGGCCTATGGGAGGGGACAGGATCTCCTGTGGTACAGGAGCTGTCACCAGGTCATTCTGCTGCCAGGGGGAGTGCGTTTCCCTGCGGTTTGGTGGGTCATGAGTCAATTATCTGGTGCTTTTGTATTTAGTGTTGCTCACGCAATTGATCATGTTTATTCCCATAT